CTATTTAGTAGCAAATATGAGACACACAGTGTGCTACCACTCCGCAGGGTTCGACGCCTGGTCCGAGCTATATTAAAATTGGAAACGGTTTTTTCTAAATGTGGTTTTCGAAACCAAGAAAGGCTTATAGGCCCAACAGAATGGGTACTTGTACGTCAATAACGGAAAAGTATGCGAAGGAAGTGGCATACGTACCGTAGAGATACGCCACAATGAAGGTTTTGCGTCTGCAAACATAGCCGCGTACTTGGAGTTTACACAAGTCAATTTTTCAGATACAATAGCATAACATTCACATTTTTTTTAACTAATACATTCCCACTTCTCTTGATGTTTTCATCACTGTCTCAGGCTTTTCGAAGACAGTTTATTTTCTGGATGCCTACTTTACTCAAACAATGTGTAAATTATGTGCATATTCTCATTGGTCTGGTCTTGTGTAAACGGAGTTATGCAACTGTCAGCAGTGACGGACTTACGTGCATCAAAAGTTGTGTGTTGGCCAACGTTGCCAAACTTCCTTCCTTTCATCTTTGAGCGGAAAGTACGCAAAGTACCCATTCTGACGGGGCCATTAAGGTTTGGCCACACAGAAACCTCTCTGTCGCGGCGAGAAGCGGTCCAGCGGTTGTCGCGACGCACTATGGGGCAAAGATGTTGCCGCGAAGAAGTTGAAAAAATCAATAATTTCTGGAGAGCGCACAGTGCCGCCTAACTGGGCAAAAATCGAAAAGTTCGTCGTTCTGCAATGTGAACGTGTTCGGTATTTTTGTAAAAGTAATTTATCCACTAAAGAGAATTAAATATAAATTGCCCTATAAAATAAATTATCATTATTGTTATTTATTTAGTATTATAAAATTAATTTTAAGACTAAAGGGAGAAGGGGCTGAGCACTAGCTGCTAAGGCTATCGGCTCGGTCTATAATACATACATAAGATATAGTAATAAGGTTTGAAGTAAAACAATATAAATACAAATAAGTAAATAATCAAATAGTCTTTAATTTACATTCCAAGTTCATATTCTTAATACTTTTTATAAAGCGGAATGTTTTTTCAATGTTTTCTTTATTGTTTTCTTTCAATATGCCTATGGACAATCGGTTAGAATATGCGGTAGACACTTTGCAGGTCGGACAGAAGAGCGTAAAATTTTCGTTGAACAAGTATGGATGCGAAGCAATAGTGTGTCCTAGCCTTAGACGGGAAAATATTTTTATTTTGTGTTGATTAACGTCGACAAGGTATTGGGATCGATTCCCGTCTTTGTTAATAGCGCAGTAATGATAGTGATTGTGTTGCTTCCAGTTATGTACCCTTCGTTTCATTAAATATACGTCCAAATACCGTTTTAAATCTAGTTTTTCAATGGTCGGGTCGGCTATGATTGGTGCGTGACTGGCATATTTAGCGGTCTTGTCAGCATATTTATTGCCACCAACTCCTATATGGCTAGGAATCCAGACAAGCAGCGCTTTTTCGGGTTATTTGCGAGGATTGTTCTTATTTTTTGTATTGTCAACCATTTTACAGACATCGGACTGCGAATTGCACTCAGTACAGACAGGCTATCAGTAAATATGGGTGTTTTCTTGCGGCTGGCCAGAGCTGTTTTCAGAGAGCTGTGTATGGCCACTGCTTCGGCAGTGAAGACTGAGGCGGATTCGTGAAGTCTGCTAACCGTAATTGTGTTTCCTTTTTCGTTGACCACAGCGTATGCCACATCCGCCACATTCGTATATAGAATTTGCCATCCGTCCTGTTCAAGTTTGGTTCTCTTTTCATTAAAGTGGCTTAAAAACTCTTCTGTAGGTGTGTTGTCTTTACTAAAACAGGCAAGTGAGATGTCGCTTAGCGCCCATGGAAGCACTTTCCCACAGTTTTTGGTTACTTTTGTTGGAATGTTAAGTTTCGGACATTCTGCAAGGGATAGAGCTAAAGCTGACGCTATCCTGCGCGATCTTTTTCACGAGAGCAAACGTTCGACATCAGCGTAAATTATATGCCGCCTGGAAGCCACTAAAGTCGACAAATTGTATACTAAGAACTTTAATAAGAGCATAGCCATGCGTAATCTCCTCACGGAAACAAATGTCAGAAATACACTATTTGAAATAAAATGTTGGTTTGACGGTTTTTATGTCCATATACATAGATAGTAAAGAGCTACAGGATTAAAAAAATTGGAATCATATTAAACACAAGGTGTCCCTGCGGTGTTCCAGAAATAGTATAACTTAATGGAAAGAATAAAAAATATATGTAAAACTATGTTATATCGGAAAAGAGGGGGGCGGGTGGCACCTCCAATACAAAGAGAACTTTCCATATGCATATCTCTGGAAGTGTTCACGGTAGAGTACTGGAATTTGGTGTGGAGACATACGAAATCAATCGCATGCTCTTGGAGAAAAATGGGGCTATTTGAAAAGGAGGCGTGGGTTCTAAAAACGTATCGCCTTTTAGCTATGCTTGTGAGTGAAATCATCATCCTAAATATGTGTCCGGGTTTTAAAGAAAATTTGTTGTGTGTGTTTGGGTGGATCTCTGGATGGCTTAGTTTCACAATTTAGCCCGCCAGTTGGCGCTGTAGTTGAGTTATTACTAAAAATCGCCAAGTGAGAAAAGGTGCCGTGAATGTCAGATTAAATCGACCTGTTGCACCACTGAGTATATCGAACTCTCCTGTGTTACGATTGGCCCAATGGATGTGATTTTCCAATATTGTTATGGGTTTAACCGTTTAAGGTATTTCGTCTGAAATAAGTATATGTATATTGCATTTCTGTAGAACAATGATACTCACCCATTTTGAAATTGCCATCAACTATACTATAAAGCTTCTAGGACACAATCACTATAGAACCGGATCATTGTACGTTTTGCAAATAACCGTACTATAAAATGCTGCACTATTGGAGAATTTTAAGAACTTCTTCTCGGACATAACACTTTCGTTAAGTTCTGTACACATTGAAAACGACGAGCTACCGACCACAGCTTCCAATTTGTCATCTTTATTATCTAAGCGCTTTGTCGATGGCGACATGATTTCTTTGAACGCGGCAGCGACATCATGAATTTGTATGAGTTTGACATAAAAGAAGAGGAAGAACCTTATCTGTCGCCAGAAAAATAGAAATAGATCTAATCTGGCCACAACCACAGCCGTCGCGTAGCCCGGTCGTCGCCAAAATAATTATCTACATAACAGTACGTGTTAAAATAATTTGACAGCTGTGGTTTGTAGCTCGTCGTTTTCATTGTGTTCGGGCTATTAGGTTATTGAAAGAGACAAATGACAACCAAACCATAATCTTAGCAGTTGAATGTGCCAAAGAAAATCGTAAACGTGAATAATTGGTGAAAATGTTGGACCAAAAGGTTTCAATAAAAAAATATTAATTTTGGGCGGGACGAAGTTCGCCGCGTTTGCTAGTAGGATATTATTTTAAAGGACAGTTGCTTCAAAATATTAGGAATTAAATAAGAATGTGAGAGAGAATGTAAGAGAAAAGAATAAAAGTCAATCACTAATTATTATATTAAGATACAAATACATTTATATTTTTATTCAAGGACTTATGTTATAAAAGTCCTTCATAACAATTATCAGAGAGATAAATATATTTAAGTCTTCAAAGACTTTTATATTTTGAGACTTATATTATAAAAATCCTTTGATAATAATTATCATTGAGATAAATATTTATAAGACTTCAAAGACTTTTATTTTGAGACTTTTATTTCAAATGTCTGTTCATAATAATTTTGAGTGCGAAACATTTTTTTAAGTCTTAAAGGACGGGGCCTGTTCAGGACCATTTCGGGATTAGTTGGAGACCAGCTCGGGACTTGTTGGGGACCACATAGGGTTATTTGGGGAGTGTTTAGGGCCCAGTTAGGGTTTAGTTGGGACCATTTCGGGACTATATGTATAACATAGTTCCAATCTAGTCCCCAACTGGGCCCAAACTGCTCTCCAACTAGTTTCAAACTGTTTCTGAACTGATCCTTAACCATACCCGAAATGGGCACCAACTAATCCCGAAATTGACCGGAACAAGAACCTAGCCTTAAACAATTTTTTCGCACGCATAATTATTATGAAAACACTTTTATAATAAAAGTCTCAAAATAAAAGTCTTTGAAGACTTAAAAATATTTATCTCAATGACAATTATTATGACAATACTTTTATAAGTCTCAAAATAAAAGTCTTTCTATCATGAAACGCTTTTGTTATACAAGTCTTAAAATCATAGTTATCAATGATTTAAAAAATTTTTCTCACACATAATTATTATCAAAGGACTTTTATAATACTTCCGANTCAAAAGACTTTTATAATTCTTACGAAAATTTTGATGACTTTTTTAAAACTCCCCCATGAAATAATTATTATTCTGGGTCTTCGGCTGTAACTTTTACCAAAATGTAAAATATTGTTGGTTTTCAACAAATATTTTCATTAATAACGGCCTCAAGCTCAATAAAAATTTTCAATTCAAATAAATATGTTTTAGCAATAACAAGACAATCGTAGCTTGATTATCCAGCGTGAAAGTTATCATACTTATAAACGCGCTTTTTAAAACAAGAATTTATGATTATTTTGAATAATATAGTACTAAGATGTTCATTTACAAAGTTGAATTAAAATTCACTGGAAATAGACTATAAAATCGGCCTGTTGGTGTTTGGGTAGTCGCCATTGTTAATTAGTTACACGCAACTGTATATGAATTCATTTCGTCAAACACATCTCAGTGTGTAATGTCAATAATAAATTCTAAAACAATTTTTTTTTTTTCAATTTACTGTTATTATCCATTTTCTTGAAAAATGCGAAACTTTGACTTTGAAGTTTATAAGACAAAACAGAAATCGTACTTCAAATTTGTTTATTTATTGTTTTTCTATCAAGGGCAGTTTTGAGAGTTGCATTCGGAATACGACTGAAAACAAAACAACAAAGAACCCTAAATGTTATTTCAATGCAACTGAGGAGCTGCACATGGACAGGTGAGGTTCAGCAAATAAAAGAAAACTGTCAACAATTTTGGTAACGTGTATATGCTCTTAACTTTTGTTTGGCCATCAAGCAGTACTTCTAGTAGTAATTTTGCACATTACAAGTACAACTCCAGTACCGTTTCGTAGTGACGACTATTTCTACTTGGATCCCGATATGGACGATGACGTGGAGTATATTCAGAATGTTGATTTAGCGGACGCAGACTATCGACCGAACGAATCTGAATCTGACTATGTTATGCATCCTCGATCGGCTGAAACTACAACGGAATGTGGTACGTGTACAACAAAACTATGGAGGAGTCCATTTGTATAATATTCTAACTGCTTTGATATATAGAGACCGAACCACCAAAACATAGCGAAACTCATACATCCACTCCGCACGGTCCAGTGCCAACAACATGCATAGCCATAATCCCAGGCGCAACTCCAAAGTCGCCAATTTTGGAACCGGCGACCCAGCCACCACAACCAGCTCAACCAATGCAACCAATGCAACCACCCCAGCCTGCTCCGCCACCGCAACCAGTGCCGCCTCAACCGGTTCAACCACCTACACCTCCACCATCGCCACCACCGCAATATCAGCTACCTCCATCACCCGCTCCATCTACTCCTGCCCCATTACTACCATCTACCAAAACACCTCAAACAATTTCGGCTTCTTCTACAGAAACCGAAACGACGACTTGCATACCGGAAGATGAGTCAACACCGAAGCCAACCACATTGCCATATCCCTATTTGCGCCCAGTAGAGGCGACTACTTGCATACCAATGAAAATTGGGGTAGGCGGAGTTAATGTTTCCACGTTTGAAGGCTTACTTATGCCGCCATCTTCTCTGTTTCCGGCTGCGTCATTAACAGAGCAGGAAGGCAAAACGCGCGCACTGCACTCACTTGTACAGCACTTGTATGTGGCTCAAGCGCGCGTCCAGCTGGAGGCAATCGAAATCAAGAAGGCTCAAGCCGTGGCGAATTCCGCCCAACAACAACTCGAAGAGGCAGCCAATCATGTGCGAAGTGTGACGGCAGCACTGCAAAATGCCCAGCAAGAGGTTGCTTCGGCTGCGATACGTGCACAAACGGCACAACTGCAGCTGGCCGCTCACGATCAGTTGTTGTTCGCGGCGCGGCAAGATGTCGATGCGCTATCATCCCAAATGGTTGGCCTACAGGCCGCCGAAGGTATCGCAGTGCCGACGGTGAAATTTGATATCGGCAGTCTGCTGGATAAGCTAAAACAACCATTGTCTGCAGCGGAGCGACCCACTGCTGTGCCACCCGTGATGGCGATGCAAGAGGCGGCACCCGCGGAACCATCACCGCTGTATGTTGACTATGATTATGATTAAGTTTGAAATATGCCGCTTAGTTCCACTATCTATCTATTTAATATACCAATTTTGTGTTTAAACATGTACATATCAATTGCTGAGTGGAAGATCGACCAATCTCGGCAGCCAGTTCGAAAACGCCCTATCTCAAAAAACTATTCAAAAACGCCCCATTTCAGAATTTGGTTTAAGAACGCCCTAGTTCAAAATTCGTTTCAAAGGCGTCCTATGTCAGCTGCCGATTAAAAAAGTGAGATAGGGCATTTTTGAATCGTATTCTGAAATAGGGCGTTCTTCAACCAACCTCTGAGATAGAGTGTTTTTAAATAAAATTCTGAAATACGGCATTCTTGAAAAGTTTTTTGAGATAGGGCGTTTTCGAACTGCCTGCCAAAATATGTAGGTCAATATTCCACTCAGCAGTCGATATGTAAGTACATACGTATATTTTTGTAAACTGTTTTTCTGAAATGATCTGTACTGTTATGTGTGCTTCACTTCATAAAGGAAGAGTGTTCTTTGTATTTTAGATTATTTTGTTTTTATGTGTAACTTCTTTAATAACCCAAATAAATATGTATAATGAAATAAAAAAATACCTCGCGCGTGGATGTTCTATACTCATTCTGCGAAAGGTGACTTCAATAAGCGCAAGTATTCACATTACAAATTTCGCTACCCTTATGTTAAGTTTTAATTATGTCATATGGAATTTTTTAAGTATTAGACTAACAACCTGCGCTTAAATAATTTTGACATCTCTGTTAATTTAGTTTTTATTGGTGCCTTAAAGTTTTGATAGGTTCTGGTTAAAATAAGCTATAAGCCTCTGTATATATCTGTGCCGTTCAACTAAAGTAGCCTAGGTGGCTTTAGAAAGTTTGACTTTGAATGAAAAAAAAGTTTCCCTTGAATGTTTATATATTTTTATTAAGCTTCTTTTAAAAGGGCACCTTTAACTACATCTTTGGCTAGTTAAACGTTAAAATCTGGTTAGGGAACCCCATGAAATTGTGATTTAACGAGAAAGGCGCCTATCTCTACTTAGGCTACTTTAGTTGAACGGCACAGATACATATGTATGTACATAAGGGTAGTCCAAAAATGTAAAGTCGGAATTTTAATGCTCTCACCCCCTAGGATTTTTCTATATCGAAAAAATATACATACCACCATTTTTTTATTTTGACATCAAAAAAAGCCTCAAAGTTTTCCATGCATTTTATAAGGGATAAACTTGTGATCAATATTTTTCGATCGGAAAACTTTGGTTCTTTTAAGGAGACTTCCAGTAAGTATATACAATTGTTTATTTAACCATTTTTTAATACTAAAGATTTTTTACTGGTCCCCCCTAAAATTTTCTGGTGTTTTTGGAGGACGTGTAAATACAATTACTATGAAAAAATCGTTAAACAAATTATAGAGTATATTGATTTTCAAGAATTCTGTAACATTTCTAAGAAAAGTTATTTTTTCCAATATAAATTTCATGCGGAAACTTGAGCGACCTCTAAGTAATTCTTGGTTTCAAAATAAAAAATTGGGGTACAGTTTTTCGGTATATACGGGGTATCCTACGGGGTGACAGCATACAAATTCCGACTTTCCTTTTACAAATGCATTTTTGGACCACCCTAATGTACACACACATACATATATGTTACCACAAAGAACAAAAATCTCGAGCTACCGAGATAGTGGTAAAAAAAAATTTGAAATTTTAAAAAATATGTAAGTAATCCCAGTTTTGAATATCTACTTTTACGGCGAAGTTATTGTATGGAATGACATTACACAATCTGAACACGTAGGTATTATACCATGTTCTGACCGACATCGAAAACATGTTTTCGTTGCTAAAACTGCTTTTCGACCTAAAACTTGTGTGTCTCGTCTTGATTCAAGTTTCATTCATGATTCAAGTTATACTGAATAACGCATAGTTTTTCATTTATACATTCTCTCTTGATCACCGTACCATATTTATTGTGTGTGAAATATTAGAAAATATAATATCAAAGTCTGCATATGTATGTATGTATATAAGACACGAACATATACCATGATCGCCTACCTGGTACTGTGATCAAGAAATTATTTAAATGATCAATAAAAATTTATTCGTTATTTGAAATTACTTGAATGAAGAATAAAAATTTATTCGTCATTCTAAATTACTTGAATGATGAATAAAAATTGACTCATCATTCGAAAGTGCTTGAATGAAGAATAAAAATTTATTCGTCATTCTAAATTGGGAAAATTATGAATAAAATTTTATTTTTTGTTTGAATAAAAATTCATTCCAAAACGCCCATCCCTGGCATGTACATAAGATATCAAAGGTAATCGTTTTCGCAAAAAGCTGTTTCAACTACTATGATAAAAGCTAATAATAATTAAAAAAATTAAATATGCCATAAGCTTTAAAAATATATGTATGTATATTTGACATTTTTTTCTGAAACTCCCATATTAGCTGTAAATGCAAATTTTAGATTCACGCTGAGAAGAAGAAAAAGGTAAAATAAAATTGCACGAGTTTTCATTCGCATTGGCTTTTGCAAAATGTACGAGCATTTGGTAAAGAAATGTTGCAGCCTCTAATTTGCAAGACAATAATCCAAAACCTTTTCATTCGTTAAAAATGTTATGAATCAATAAAAAGAAGTTCGCAAAAAATAAGTGAATGTTTGATTATTTTTTGTACCTCCTTACTCTTTCCCCGTAAGGTCTGGTTTGGGTTAAGAAATGTTTGTTATGTTATAGTTGTTGCAGTAGTTGAAATTGTTGTTGTAGTTGTAAACTTGGTAAAAAGTTTGTAGAGCAGTGTACGTTTTTTTGTGTGTAGTGAAATAAATAGGCGTACCAAACGTCTACAAGATTTTTTAATGATGTATGTATGTGATAAATTTTTTTTTAGATAATTTCTATTAAAAATTTTAAACATATGTGAAATGAAACTTTTACCAAAAACATCTAAAATATTGAAATATGTATGATGAAATAGTACAAAAAAAATAACCAAGTATGTACATATTTACGTACTTTAAGAAAACGACGTGGAATGCCAATCAAAAAAGATTAGAAATTCACACACCACCAGCCAGCAAAGTATTCAGGTTGGAAAATAAAAATATTTTCGGGTAAAATCCCACTGCATAAGATGCTTGTGAAACGGATTTTCCGTTTGAGGTTGTCTGATTTTTTCTAAAAATTTTCAAACTTAATTTTCTTTTTGAACAGGCTTTCGTTCTGTACTTTGCAGACGCGTTTTAATAATTGGAAAAACAAAAAAAAGCTTTGATTTTTTATTTTAATCGGAAATCAAGTCTGCATCCAATCCTGGCCTGAATCTAGCAAATTTAAGTACTCGTTTCTGCACATTTTCATAGCAGCAGTTTGATTTATGTTTTCAAATATTCAGTTTACATAAATTGCTTACTAATAATATTTATAACTGTTATAATGTAAAAAATGATTGTACATAAAAATTGTAAAAAATAAATTTTTCGGGATTCCAAAAGTTTTCTTTTGTTGGCTGGTTGTTGTCACAAAAACTAAAATTGTCTGTATACAGTGAAAGAGGAAAAAAATTATATAGTTTGTATCTGCACTAAAAAATACTTGTTGTCCTGAACACGATATAGTTCTTTACCCTTCTGAACTGAAGGTTCTAACTCCATTTAAGGTTAAGACATTGAAGTTTTTTTTTTAGTTATTCATCGCACGATATTTTGCTAGAAAATGTTTCACTTAATATTTGCATGTGGGAGGATTTCCTGTTGGAAGAGGCCACAGAACCCAGCGTTGAGCAGAATTTAACTTCAATTATGGAAACAAATTTTAGAAATTGGGTACAGAAAATATTTCTTCAACTCAATGCTAATGATCAAATATTGATGTTGAAATAAAAATAATTTTATAATTTTTCTTACAGAACTTTATCCAAAATTTAGAAAATCAAATCAAATCAAGTAAAAATTTTTACGAGCATTTCGGGTATGCTATTTATTAGCCCATTTAATGTAGTTCAAGTTTAAATATATAGCTCAAAATTCTGGTTGATTGTTAGCAATTTTTTTTCATACGTTGTTGCGCATTTTTTTTTTAAATAAAAAGCATGCGTTACAAGAAAAAAAACCGTCAGCAGAAAAAAAAACTAAAAAATCACCAAGTATTTTGGGTCGCATCAAACTGGGCTATGAAAAAGTATTCCCTTTTCTTAAAAAGTTTTGAATTCTAATGAAAATTTGATGGAGTTTTATACATTTTTTACAAAGCTTGAAATTTGCTAAAAAATGCTCTAGTTGAAACTAAAATAATTAAATATTTTTTTTTTACTAATTTACTAAATTCCACCTCATTTTTTAAAGTGTTACTAAGGTTTGCATGGCCACAAGCCTCCTGAAAATATGTTTTACAAAGAAATCGATAAGAAATCACCTATTCTGCTTTTCTCTATGTGCCTACATTAAAAGATAAAAGTAAACAAAACAAAAACTGCACAAAACTGGCATCAAACTCAGGGGGTCTATTCTGTGTTGCGATTCGAAACTCAATAATACATATTCATAGTGCCGAGTATTCGAATCCGAACGATTTGCTTTTCGATTCGCAATACAGAGTAGATCCCTGGGACTTACTAGGTTATGGTAGCGCACAGCTTATCTATTCGGCTACATAGGTCACCATACCGGAACTATTTCACACTTACGGCAGCATTACGTAGTGAAGTGTCGTTCATTTTGGCGAATAAGTTTTTTTTTATTAAATAATATTATTTATAAAACTGATATAATAACGTAAACTGAACTTAAAATTAAGTAACCGTAACACTTGCAAGGAGTTGATCCATCTTCAACCGAGGTAACGACTTGACTTGGGTCAAAAATTTAAGAAACGGGATTTTGCAAAAGTCGTCCTTAATTCAATCAACCATCAACGTTTCCGAAAGATTTTTCAATAGCATCTTACTCTTCGGGTTATATTGAGCTAGTTCCTGTTTCACTTCCTGCCACAAAAGTTCAAATGGGCTTAAGGCAGGGGTATTTCCAAAACGATTAACTCCTTCCATTCCACGACATATTTTGTATTTGTGAGCAGAAAGTTATTGCATTTTCATTTTCCACCACACATATAAAGACAGATAAACTCTGGCACTTTAAGCTTTTTATACGTATCGATAAGAAAAACTTGTATGTGAACATCATCAGATTTTTTAGAATTCTTCTGAGTAGCAAGTTTTAAATTTTAGTATAATTTAAAAAATTGTTTACGATACGAAAATACTTTTATCATTAAAAATCTACGGTTACTGTTTAACAACAAATTATATTCAATACAACACCTTTATAGTAGCAGAAGTTGCATATTTTTACTACTATGAGTACAACTACTAGGGAACGTGATTTCAAATGAAATGAATGAGAAAACGACTATGGAACAAAGTATTGCAATACACATTCATATTTATGCAAAGGCGATATACTACTTTTAATACATATTTATGTACACTGGCGATCAAAACCGAGTGCATGTGCGACATTTGATTATTTACAGTAGCATACCTTTTTTATAATAAGCGGATTGCTTTGAAATTTTTAGAAATTGGTCCTTATTATCCAAGGAACAAAGTCTAGTATACAGAAAAGCCAAGCTTAAACAAGAAACTAGCGATTCACAGCAAAAACGTATGGCAGCTCTATTCTAAGAAAAAATCCTAAGGAAATTCTTGTAATATTAAAATAACGTTAGAGTATTTTACTTCATTATATTGCTGCTAGCTTTCACAGGCAGCTTCAAAATGTGAATAATAAAATAGTGTAATATCGACACACATCAATTAATTTTTCTGAGTTTGCAACCAATATAAAATAGTGCATCAATTAAATGACATTTCTAAGTAAACATCGTACATATTATTTTTTTGTGAATTAACAGATAAGAATCAATAAAAAGTTTACTGTATTTAAAATATGAATACATATTTTGAAAAAGAAACGCACAATTAAAGTTTAGATTTGATCGATTGGATTATAAAAACTTCTGATTCGTTTTTCTCAAAACTATACTTTTCATGTTACACTACTTCATTATTCCAGCGACGATTTGTTCTTGAATGAATTTATATTCAGGTAGTTTTTTTTAAGGAATCAGTGTAGGCATCGGCATCGCCTCAAAAATTGGGAATCGGTCGATCTCTAATGATATTTCTTCCATCCTAATATGTTGAACGAAAATAGTCAGTGACATATGCAGCAATGCGCTTATTGCTAATGGTTTTTAATTAATCAAAATTATTGACTGTCAATTTGAGATATAGAAAATTTCGTTATTCTAATCAGCATAACTTTCCAATTAATCATTTATGCGTTAGGGAATTATTTCAGGGCACACCTAAAAATGTTGCCACAATGACTGGGCGAATACACAATTTTCTCTCTTAAAACATTTATTTATCGTGGCATTGGTGATTGACTTGTTTACATTTTTAATTCGTTCCTTTCATTTGACATTCAACAGGTTAACAAACGAGCATCCTAATTAAAATGCAATTAAAAATTGCAAAATTTCAATGGCAACTGACATGAAGCCGAGTTCGCGTGACAACTAATCACGTGATTATCACGCGAACGAATAAAGGATTTAAGTGAAGCATAACTTTACTCCAGACAGGGCCGTAAACACATACAGTACCCATCGACACATACATACATACATACATACTCGTGCATGTGCATGTACTATATGTGTTAATGGCGTGCACTTGTTGTCTTTACTAAACTAGTAGGGGTATTCCTCAAATCTTGCAAAGCCATTGCACGTAGCACGGATTGCATGGATTTCCTATCGCTGCAAATATGGTTGTTTTGTTGTTGGAATTGTTACATATTTCTCTTATTCCTCTCATCTCGCTCACTTTATTTTTTTTGCTGTCTCTTGTTATTGTTTTTGATACATAATTTCGCTGCTTGCTACCCATGCAAGCTACCACTTTGCTATGGGGTGCTCTCGTACTCTTCGAAATTTGGAATAGTATTTTTGCATTTCGTGCAATCCGTGCATCGTGCAAGACTTCGAGAATACCCCTAGTATTTTTTATTGCAACATTATGTTGCATGCAAAAACTACTTTTAAAAATTACAATGCAACAATCGCTAAATGCTCTATACCACTGTATACAGACCATTTTGTTGTAGATGAGCTTAAAATTAAAATTGAAAAAAATAAATAAATAAAAAATATGTACTATAAGCTAAACGAGTGAATTTGCTAATGTACATAAATATATATGTAAATAATAACTATAAATTACTTTACTTTATGAAGCTGCTGTATTTATACGATAATTACTTTATTACGTTTTAACATAAAGCAATACAAAAAACACGGTGATTGGGTGAGTGAAACAGATTAGTTAATTCAACATTAAACGGATACAATTACGATTATGAAATGCCGATAGAGGAGTGGGCGGATGTGAAAAACTTATATGTGGCTACACATTTGGCTTGTTGGTATATATGTATGTGTATGTGTATATATATGTACGTAGGTACGTGTATTATAATGATTAAAATTCGACAAGTATCATTTTTTGTAATGCTAAAACTTTAAGTTTGCACCAGAATAGCACCCGAGAATGAATGAATTGTATGAAAAATGCGACAATAGTTTAGAAGAAATGGATTAATTTTTTTTTATCTTCAAAGAATTCGTATTTTCATATTATCAGCTTAGGTTAGGTTGTTTATATTTATGCCTAGTGCTTAGGCTTAGAAAGAGGCTTGTGCGCCAGGATATATGTTCGACTGTCTCTAAATTTTTCTGCTGGGTATATTTGAATGTTGAGCTCGCGCCTTTATTCGTGTCTAGTGACGATATGCAGTCGGCACAATAGTATCATTCTGCAGTGGTGGGGAACGAGTATTCGACTCTGATTAGGTGCGCGATTTGTAGAGGACGTAACTAGTATTTTAGTTCGGAATATAGAAGCTTGATTTAAACATTTATAATAGTGCGGGCTAACATTTATGGCATAGACCTATTGCTAGACTATTTTAGGTCTTAATATGATGGCTGTTTTGTTAGCTTTATAATTAGAAATGGTTTATCATTCACGAAATACTTTCAATATAAAGACAAATCTTTTGAACGAAAACCACTTCTAATAAGTACCAAGAGAGAAGACATTACTCCATCTCTTCTGAAATTCGGTCTTAAAAGGAATTCTTCAAGCGTGCAGTTGGTGTTTACAACTACCTCGAACTCTTACACAAATTGACAATTCATACATATGAGTTTCGTGTATGGAAGTGGAAGTGCCTGGGCTTTACAAACTTTTTCAAATGCATTTCAATATGTAAAGGCTAATTTCTAAACTACATAAGAAAGATAAGGCTACTTTTTGATGTACTACAACCTAATTTAATATTAATAGGATGAAATGTACAAGTAAACTCCACCCCGAGCCGATCATCTTCAGCCCATTCTCGAGTGCTATTTGGGTGCTTACTTTTCGTTGGTGGTTAATGTTCGGCTATGCGAGATTAGCGCATTGAGATTAAGGTCTTAGCCGCAATAAGTGTGTGTGTTTGCACGTGTACATATGTATGTATGTGTGTGAAGTGCTGCATAACTGCTTGTGTTATAAATATGTAGCATGTATGTATGTCTGTATGTGTTCAATACAAATTCAATTGCACTTACCCCAGGTGCTATCATCATTTGCAATGGCCGTGGACCGGATGGCACCAGCGACACGCTATCACCTGCCTGTGAGGAGTTGGCAGCAGTATCGTCCATTGCTGCGGCTGCTGCCGCCGCCGCGGTGTTGGAGCCCGAGCCAACCGCATTACCGGCTCCGCTTGGCACACTCGCACCGCCATTAGCCGTGATTATCGGCAAGGTGTTAGCGGCGGCTGTTGTTGTAACCGCTGCTGATGCTGCTGTGCTCAGTAAGGGTGCAACGGATGTGGTGAGGAGGGTATCCGCCTGCTGCTGCGCCAATTGCTCCAGCTTCTCACGCTGTTCGCGTAGCAATTGCTGCTGCAGCTGGCGTTGTTGTTGTTCGCGCTTGTAGCTCTCCATGGCCGTCATGGACGTTAGGTGGGCATTCGGAGTATCGACATAACTATATGGAGGAACTGATTCCTGGTCAGGTACAGATGGACGAAACTATGCGTTAGAGATGGCATGGCATGGAATTCCATAAAGAATATAAAAAAGAACATTATTAAGGTGGGAAATACAGGTAGTTGTCGCATGGCAATGCATTTAATGGTAAGATAGCTGAATAATCACAAACAGTACTGTTATAAACAGTACAGATGTTTTTGAAGCAAATGTTAGTTAGTCCATGTAAAAGATACGAAGAAGTTAGTTGAATACATACATAAGTAGTTTACTCACACAACATAGGTGGCTGGGCATACATACATACATACATACGCACGTACACATACATTTGTAATCGGGGGTTAATTGAGAGTCCCGAATGTCAAACTTACGTGATGCGTCATATTCGAATTCCTCAGATTGGCCATATGATCGAAGTTCCGGTAGCAGCCGGCGCCGGTGGTGGCCGGATTGCGGCCGCCGCCGCTGGTTGACTCGCCGTCGTCGGTGCTATTCCCATCGGTCTGTGAGAGATTGTGCCCTGTGGAGGACCGTCGTAGCGCGTGGGTTAAACGATGCCAATTTTTTATTGATCTATTGCGACTTTCGCGCTTTTCTAATTTGCATATATTTTTTGATTTTTTTGTTTTTTTTTTTGTTTTAAATTATGATGAATCGCATGATCGCGTATGTGAGTGTGGGAGTGGTGGTGGTGGTGGGGCGTGTGTAAGCGTTCGATTAAATCGATTGGGTTTTTTGTATCGTGCACGAGTGTGACGGTCGGGCATGGGGCCCAGCGGTGGCAGCGGTTATGCGATATTTTTTTTTTTTTCATTTTTGTTTCGAGTGCAATTATTCAAGCGCGAATGAATTTGTATGGCATGAATGTTTTGAATTAACAAACAGATGCATTTGTATAGATTGTTTGTTGTTTGATGATATCGATGGTGGTTGATGATTCAATGCGTTTTGGTTGATTGATTGATTTGTTTGTAATGAAGGACCGCATCAGCAATTAAGTATGTATATATATGAGATTGTTGTCGTTTGCAATACGCAATCATCCATGAAAGCCATTCAGAAAATCCAAGTTTGCGTTATTTTAAAATTGGTTGTTTGTTTTAAGTTTGTATGAATTTAGATACAGGGTTTTCGTCATTTTGCGTTGCGTTACAGCCATCAGATTTAAGCAAACAATTCGAATATAAATTTTAATTTGCACATTCATGAATTTTATTTTCGCAGAAATTTGTATTTATTTTTTTTTCAGTTCAGTGGAGCGGAAATGAAAAGAAAGGATTTGAAAGAATTGATCCAGTTAATCTTCTATGTTTAAACGTTTTTTGTCTCTTAGGCAGAGACAGTGCAACAACTTACAACAACATTGAGCGTTGATTAGACGACATAAAATAATTTTTGTTACTTTTGTAGATGTACAACGATAGTAGGGACAAAAATATCCAATAGACACAAATATTTATACGTAGATACATACATATTTACTCTTTGTGTATTTAGTATCTATTTAAACAAATATTGCAATCGAGGTATGGTATAAGTATTTATAGCCGCATTAGGTGTTAGTAAAAAATGCACTAAAAATGTCTAAATGATTATATAAAGTTGTTCACAACTTAGCTTAGAACATTGATTATTCATATCAAGTACTAACATATAAAAATTAGCTAAGTACTAAGGGGTTATCGGAAATTTAGTTATGTACTATATCCAATAATACTAAATATTTTACTCAGGATTAACACAGTATTTTTCTTCTTAAAGGCAATGCCTACACTACTTTATGATTTAGTACGGTTACTGGTATATTACAAACTATTGGAACTATAATGCTTTATGCACTGATACATACGTACATTTGACTTATTAGAAAGGTTCTTATGTGAGTAGGAGAATATTGCTTGAATTAAAAAAAAAATGCTGAAAGCAAACAAATTTTGTTTCACCAATAGGCAAGCCCTTCTAGCACCTTTTAGGTGTAGCCTCAATTCCTTAACGGATAAATAATAGCTACCTTGATCGTAGAGTTATGTTGATTACAATAATGAAATCTCTCAACTTTCAGGAAAAATTTTACATTAATTAAAATCATTGATTTTAGCGCCTCTCTGCTAACAGCGGCGGGCGACAGTCAATTTTACACACAAAAAATCAATTAGGGGATTCACAAGACGTGTTAACCGTCGTAAAATCTTAAGCTTAACATTTTTTTAATGTAAAATAACAGTTAAAATGGTTTTAGGGGGGCTAATTATATATTTTTATCGAATTAAAAACATTTCGGTGTAGTTATAAATCCTCTAAAAGCATTTTAACGGTAATTTTATATATAAAAAAAAATAGGCTTAAAATTTTACGACGTTAACACGTCTTGTGAATCCCCTAAATATATTCGCGAAACCATGGACGAAATATATATTGAAACTTCGTTTTGCTTTCTGACGTCAGGATTTTTTAAATGGACTTTTAAATTTGAAAAAATATGAATTCTTCAAAGAATTGTTTACAACATTCAGTGAAATGTACTTAGAAAAACAATATAAAACTAAATGGAAATTTCTGTAGACTTAAAGCAAATTAAATTTTTTGGTGCAGAAGGATGAGAAGGTATTGAAAATGTCATTTCAAAATTTTATACTTATATGCTAGCTAAGCTAATTTTATCTTATATGCTAGGGACTAATACATACTTGACCTCATCGTCGAATTTGATCCTTCTAGCTTTATAAGTTAAAAAAAATAAATATGTTTTAAAGGGCATTTTAGGTGCCTATACGTCCTTGTGAACCAAACAATTCCATTTTTGGAAGTAATCATATCGTTGAAACTACAATTTCTTTTTAAAAAATCATAGAGGAAAACTAAAAACGCAGTTTTACTATATTTCGCCCATAGCTTCGTGAGAATATTGATATTGTTGTTGTAACAGCATACAAATTCCTCAAAGAGCTTTTGGGAAGTGTTGCTGTAGTGACAGTCCTTGGATACAGATATAAACCTGAATCGTTTCGGTTGCGTAGATTCGGCTGTCGTGGTTTCGAAATTTTTTTGTTTTTGTTGCACGGTGTAATATCACTAAAGATTCTCGCCCATCGGATCGAGATGGAAGAAATATATTTTTTAGAGCGAGAAATTTCTACCGAATTGCGGTGTGACTAATCGCCTTCGCAGGTGTTATTTTTTAACCAACTTCCAAAAAAGGAGTAGGCTATCAGTTCGTCGGAATATATATATTTTTGTTGAATGTACATATCAGGGATGGGCGAAATCAAGAAAATGAATAATTGAATAAAAAAAAAATAAGAATAAATTTTCATTCATCATTTCAAAAATTTTGAATGACGAATAAATTTTTATTCTTTATTCAAACATTTTCGAATGATGAATAAATTTTTATTCTTTATTCAAACA